ATTGGAAATTCCTGGTCCTTGCTCCACACTTGCTAGATGAGAATCTTTGGGGGTGGCTCTATGAATCCGGATTTTTAACAAGTTCCCCAGTATTGATGAGAGGAGAAGGGATTTATTAAGAAAATTGGCTCATGTGATAATGGAGGCTGCGAAATCCCATGATAGGCTGTCTGTAAGCTGGAGAACCAGGGAAGCTGGTAGCAAGGCTCAGTCCAAATCCAAAAGCCTCAGAACTAGGGAAGCCAATGCTGTAACTCTCAGTCCAAAGCCAAAGATCTGAGAGGTCAGGAGGCCACAGGCATGAGTCCTGGAGTCCAAAGGCCAGAGAACCTGGAGTTCTGAACCTCAAGGGCAGGAGAAGAAGGGCACCCTGGCTCTAGAAGAGAAAGCAAAGATTTGCCCTTCCTCCATCTTTTTGTCCCATTTGGGCTCCCACCTTATTGGATCCACATTGAGGGTGGATCTTCCCCACTCAGTCCACTGATTCACATGCCAATTTCCTCTGGAAACATCCTCACAGACAGCCTTACATTCTAATCAAATGCCAAACTACCTAGATTTCCCTTTCAGCAGGAGAGAGATAGGCTCAGTGCCCACTGAAGCATTGAGAATAATTAATGCTTTATTAGATATCTGGGTATCCCTTGATCCAGTCAAGTTGATACCCCAAATCAACCATCATGGTCACTGATCCTTACTCTAAAGTTTGAGTATTTCTGCTCTAAACTCATCAGTCCAGTTATAGGTACAGTCATGCTTAGGGTCCAAAATATTGAAGATAAAGATCTAAAACAAGCTTAATGGGAATGTGATTTATTTCAACCCCACAAAGATGAACATTCTTAGAACAGAAATGAGCAAAGCACTGATTATTAAGTTTCTGACTTCATTGACACTGGTTTAGATATATAAATGAAACTCCCTAAGACTATTCAAGACTATCATCATAAGGAAGGAATTTTCCAATCCAGATTCTCTATGGATCAAGTGCTGGCCACCTCCAGCATTTACATTATACCAGTTATTTATTGTCACAACAGTGCTGTATGACACAACCAGAAAACTTCAAGGGTGCACAGCAATAAATATTGAGTCTTGCTCATGAGTGGGTGGGTTGGCTGGGTGATTCTACTGATCTGAACTGGGCTTGACAGGGCAATTTCATAAGTCTGTGTCAGTTGTAGGTAGGATAGTTGACTTTACTGGTCTTGGATAGGCTTTCTCACGTCTGAGGCCTTGGCCAGAACACCTGGGACAACTCAGTTTGCTCCAGGTGGCTCATTCTCCAGTGGTCTAGCCCAGGCATGGCAGGGTTCTGAGAGAGAGAGTGGAGGCATGTAAGGTCTCTTAATGCCTGGACCTGCAACTTATACTATGCCACTTCTACTGCATTCTATTGGTCAATCCAAGTCACAGGATGAGCCCAGATTCAAGGCAGTGGGGAAATATACTCTATCTCTTGATTAGAGAAGTTGCAAAGTCATATCCCCAAGGGTATGGATGCAGGGGGACATTAATTGGGGACATTTATACAAACAACCAAGTGTGTTCATTACTTAAACTTTGTTTATGTAATGTGTAGTTAGAAGGCATAAAGTTCTGAAGGCTATCATAGTGGTCCTGGGTATCAAAAGAGTCGGTGTGCACACACATGGGAAGGTAAGGCCTCATATGTCAATAGTTTTCTTTGAGAATCTAATACTTTACCATGGAGTACATCATCAAGGGGGAAAAAGTTCAAAAAGTTATTTAAGATATTCAGAAATTTCCCAAATGCCCCAAAGAGATCCTGTTTCTATGCTGCCCTGAAATTCTAGTCAGGTTCTGGTGGTCAAGGACATACTGTTGTTTCAAAGTAAGACACATCATTGTGATAAAGATCCACTGAAAATGGATCCACTATGAATCTGCCTTTTAGACCCTACACAGTCTGACCAAACTACACTTTCCAAATTTATCTTCCAATGTGAACATATGCCCCTGAACATCACACTCTGGATTTTTGCTCCCTCTGTCCCCTCTACCTACAATGTGATGGTTCTCAGTTTCTGTGAATCCAAATCTTAGCAATCTTACAAGTGTCTGCTTAACTATTACCTGTTTTAAAAACTTTCATTGATGACAACAAAAGTGCACTATTTTCCTGTATGTGACATAGAGGAAAAAGAATAGCAACTAAAATTAGACAAATCTGAGAACAGTTCTATCATTCACTTACTGTTTCACCTTAGACAAGGTGCTTAATTTTGCTAAGTCTATTTTTCTTAATTCTCAAAGATGGGACTAATACCTACCTGCAGGGTTACTATAAAAAAGCACTGCATTTAAAGTTCCTAACATTTAGACGGTTCCTGATAAATGATGGCTATTTTTATGACCCCATGTATAAGGTGTTACCTCATTATTTTCTGTGCCCGACCCATGCCTATCTTACCCTCTTCCTATCCACACTTCCTCCTTCCAAAAGACAAGAGCTGTCTTCTTTCTTATTACTGTTCTGTGCATTTTACAGATGAGGAAACTAAGAAACCACAAGATTAACTTGTTCAAGGCCAGGTAGGTAGCAATAGTGGAGCTGAGATTTCTCCCTGGACTGCCCTGCCTTAGCCTGGGTTCCCCTGGATGCAAAGTCTGAGACCAAGGTTTATTTGAGACTGAGGGAGCAGGAGTAGAAGATAAGGGAAGTGAAATAGGATAGGATGGAAAACTGATAGAGTTGAACCAGTACTCAATCCCACCAGGCCCTATGATTCTCAAAACTATGGCTTGGGGGATGAGAAAGCATTGGTCATGGGTTAAGCAGTGTAATTCCCTGCATTTCTGATGCTGCATGTTAGTGGAAAAACAGTTCCCTCTGGCATCCTACCACAAGCACTTATGAAGCCCCAGGGCAGGAAACCAGGAGTAAGCAGTCCAGCACCGTAAGAGCTGTACCTGTAAAAATCTGGCTAAAGCCTGCAGGTTGTCACAGCACCAGCGCAGGAGTGAGAGATGGGTCAAGGTGATTGTGAAGGGGCATGTAAGAGGCATGTGCTACATTCTTCTTAGCAAATAAAGGAGAGAGTCAATGGGTGTTAAGAAGTACTGTAATCAGGAGAGTTTTCCTGAATTTCACCTTGATGTGAAGATGAAGGATTTGTTTATGTTTATTCTAGGAGCAGGCCAGTGCAAGACAGAGTATTAGGAATTCTTGCCTCAAATTCCTTTTAGAGAGTTTCATGGAAAGGTTTGGGCTCACCTGTGTTTTGAAACATGTCAGGTATGTAAGATTCTGGGAGAAGAGATATTTTCTGAGGTTGACTTTCTTCTTAATTCACAGAAAGGGAAGCCCATGTTAGAAAGATACATGCATTAAAAACTTGGACTTGAATTCATAACTTTCACCATATAGTAGAATGGTCCTAAAACCAAAAATGCAACACAGTTTTAAGCATTTCTCAATTTTCTTTAGGATCAGGCTCAGTGTTGTCTTGGGAGAAATTTTTAGACTTTAAATTTACAGGGACTATCTTTTAAATCAAAAGGTCCATTTAGGACTGGAGGAGAGAAAATCTATTTTTTAAAATTAAGAAAGTAGCAAGTTAACGAGAAAGGAAAGTTATCTAACCTCTTGTTTACAGCATGGGTTACCCTTTCACTTTTTAGTAAAACGTCATGTAGATAGCATCGTCATTTATTTTACTAAGGTAGTGGAATTCAATATATGAGGTTATTTCAAAAAGTCATTGGAAAAATACAATTAAAAAATATGAATCTTTCTACGAACTTTTTGAAGTACCCTCATACAAAATGATATCAGAAAGACTGAAGTTCAGATCCCCACTGTGCCAGTTCTAGGTGCCAAACCTTGGGCAAGCAAAGCTTTCTAAGACTCAATTTCCTCAAGATATCAGTTCTTTTCAAAGTTATTGCAAGGATGCAGTGAGATCATATATGTGAAAAGACAAAGCACATACATAAACATGGAGTATTATTTCACTTTTAAGAAATGACTCAAAGTTGTTAATAAATTCATAGGGAATTACTGTTAAAAAGCAGGCTTTTGAATTGGGGGGAGAACTTGTGGGAGGGCTGGGGTGTAGGCTGAGTTTGGTCCAATGTGCCCTGTCCTTTATCTCCCCCAAAGGTTGCATATTATTGAAAAAGACAGACTCTAATCAAAGGCTAGTTTCTGCTGATCTCCCATTACAGCAGGATATATAACACAAAGCAAGAGCTCCTGCCCTTGGGATGAATTTTTACGTAATAAGTGAGTTAAGGGAAATGAAAAATCACAACTTTCCTTGGAAAACCTTGCACAAAAGCCTTTATACACCCCTTACATCCTTCCAGGAGCCGCTTACATTTCCACTTGGAAGTCTTACCATCACTTCATATTACACATGTATAATCTTCCCTTCCCCATTAATTCTCCTTCCTACTTTATTTCATTTAGAAACAACACTATTCTCTGGGTTTTCTAGTTTATCCATTCAAACTCATTACTGTGCTGTATATTTCAAATACATGAGTACATTGCATCCAATTCTTATACAATCATCTCAAGTAGGTATTACTCTCCCCAGATTGTGGTGCGGAAATCAAGGTTCATAGATATTAAATTACAAGGTTCAGAGAGATTAAATTACTTCCAAGATTGAAACCGAGGAGAATGTGAAAAAAATAGGTTTTCGAAACCAGGCTCTGACCCCATGTTCAATGCCCCTTTCCCCATTCTAATTACTATTTTGGTTAATAATAATAATAAAGTTAATTTGCATCTTGCTGAGATCACAATTTATGTTTTAAAAGTAACAATAATAACTGTACATTTTGCACTATTGCAGTATTCCACTAATGCAATATCAAGTGATCATAAGAAATGTCACGTGAAAATTGTGGGTCAAGGAAAAAATTAGGAAATTCTGTTGTCTTTCAGAACATGCATGTCTCAATAATCAAGCAAAAAAAATCTAGGCAAGAATGCTACTCTAATATAAATAAATAAAGCAAGCAAATGATTGGGCTCAGTTTTGCCAATTTTATTGAACCAACAAAATTCCTACTAATAACAATGAAATAAATTTCTGCAAGTATAAATGTGATACAGTTTAACAAAACCCATTGTTCTGTACCTATAAATAGATTTTCAAAATGTCATAAAAAGTGCAGTCATGAATTGTTGTTAACACGTTAATACACAGTTCCTTTATTTCAAATGCGTTTGTCTTGACTTACAGTTCCTTCTGCATCTGTTCAAATATTAATCATCCCTCCAAAAAAAAAAAAAGAGGAATTAAAGCACTAGAATATTACACATAAACTGATCCATTTAGGTCAGCTTTAGTCAGAATTGTAAAATCAGCAACTTAAGTAAAACCTAGTTATACATAGGAAAAGCTTTCATGGGTTCCATAAGCTCCTTAACTGCTGACTCATGTGGAGGGTGTTAAGAGTTGAAAAGGCTTATATGGTTAACTACCTTACACTATATCTACAGCAGGGTCTGGTTTGCCAGAACAAGTTTAAAGTGGCCGTTTAATAGGTTTGCGATTTTCAGAATTGAAACTATAAATATAAGATCGCCATTTGACACTGAAACTTGTGTGAATTCTAAATTGTATCAATGATCTATTTGATAAAAGCTTATTCTAATTTAAAACCCTATAGAGTAAGAGACTTATATAGCAGTCTTAAAAATCATGTCATCCGCCTTACATTAGTCCAAAGTCATGTGCTTCATTAAAAAAAAAATTACAGTAACAAAGCACAGGACTACAAAGGCAAAACATCACAGCTTCTGATTACATTGAATAAAAAGTACCAAGGAACGCAGAAGATAATTCTGTATTAATACTGATGGATGAAAGAACTACAAGAGACATTTCACAGCATGCTACATATATCGCTCACAACTTAAGAATAAAATGATGTCTAAAATTGAAAGTCAAGAAGTTGGCAATCTGATTTCATGTGCAATTCAGCTACAAAGTCTTAATATATACATTCATTATGTAGCTGCCCTGCAAATTCAGGATTAAAAAAAAAAGAGTTTTCAAGTTCAAATCCTATTTCATAAGTTAAAGGATACATCCAGTTCTTCCATGACCAGGAAAGTTATTTTCAGGTTTGAAGGAGCTAATCCAAGTAGCAAGGCAATGTTCCAAGTTGACCTGACAGGGTTCTTTTTTTTTACCTTGCTCAGACTGTGCATGTGGATGTGCCTATTCCATTAGCATTGAGAAAATGCCAAACTGGCTTGTGGTTTGCTTTGCATGTCTATCTTATTTGGGGTTGAAAAGAGTAAATGTAAAGAGAAAGAGGAAGGGGAAAATTGTATTTTCTCTCCAGAGAAGACATATGAATGCTAAGGAAATATTTGCACTAGACATAGAATTTGGATCAGTTTCCTTGATGAACAAGGGTACCATTTAACTTTTAACTTTTATTTCATAGAACTAGTAAAAGTCAGAAAGGAGAAAATTGTCTCTAAACATTACAAAGGAAATTTCTTGGCCACCCAACTGATATATTTCCTTTATCCTACCTTTTGATCTTTTCTTGTCAGACTTGGGAGAGACAGTTGAAAATTTGTAAAGATTGATTAATTTAAGAAAGAGATATATAATTAGTTTTATTCCATAAGCATTGTAATGCATTTACTTAACTAATCAGGATTCGTGAACAGTATTTTAACACTGAAGTCCAGAGTTTCTCTCTCCCTTTTTGATATTTTTTCTATAGAAATTATACATTCATTTTTAAGCAGTTAACTTGAGGGGTGCAAGAAAATAGATAAATGTATCAAAATTTACATAACAAGCTATATTTATCATATTTAGACTTACTAGTGTTTGATGTTCTATGAGCTGTAAAATGGGGTATTTGTTCTAAAGGCTATTTTATGGTATGCACTGCATTATTTTAAAGATTTCCACAAGTATTCAAAAGAATCAGACATACTCATTCTTTTCTTTTCTCCCCTATATTTTTGCTTTTTCAATTCTGTACTTCATGGTAGTGTAGTCATAATTAAGTTAAAGTTAGAATAAATACTCCATGACATATGATTTAATAAAAACCATCTCTTCAGTCTCCATTATTAAGTCTCATTTTTTAACTAGGCCATTCATTCAGTCCTGGCCTTTAGAGGCATCTGTTGGGCACTGCTATCAGGTTGGGTTGTTCATGAGTAAGATGGAAAACATCTAAATACCATCAGATAGTAATAATCTATACTATCAAACAGGGTGGTTCATCTTCAAGTCAGACAACCTGAAGATAAACATGCCTCATGTTAGAAACCTGACATAATTTTACATCTATGACCAACACTGAATGCACACTGGCTAGAGGAAGAACTGCTGTATCTTCCACCTTTATGCATTTCCTCTTCCTTAATGATACTATTTGGATATACCTGAAGTGCAGCTAAAGGAATAAAGACTACAAAGTCAATGCATTCCTTTTTCATCCCATAGAACATTTCCCCCCAATGAGAACAGGGTAGGAATGGGTATTTGAGTCTTAGTCAAACCAAGAAATCTCAATTAAATCCTTACGTGCCAAATTTTGTGGTCTTTTAGGTATATTACAAATCAAATGGGCTTCTGTGAATCAGTTAGATCATCTAAAAACCCTTTACCATAGCCCTTCTATTAGAAATGTGTTTCAAGGTCCAAACAATATTAATTAAATAAATGTCTGAAACACCACCCCATTTGTATGCCAGAAATGTCCTGTTCCACTGAAGGGTTACAGGTCAATATGAATTGCTGGAGAATTTTAAGTTTACATTCAAATAACTTGAACTTACACCAGTATTCATTACCTAATATAGATTCAAGTTAGGATGGCAATTCAATCACTTTAAAATCCTGCTAAATACTAAATTCTGCACAATAGAAATAGTTCAATTTCTGTATCATGTATAAATATAAAGATTCCTACTTTGATAGAAGGCAAAAATCTTTTATGATTTATTTTAAATATGGAAGTAGTATTACCGAACAACAGAGAGTGAATCCACGAAAAGGTTGGATACTCTGAATTTACAGGCTCTTTGGGGATGAGGTAGAGGAGAGCAAGATATTTTGGCAGCTGGGTAAAGGGTAGAACTGTATCAGGTGGACAAGATTACATGATGCTGCATAACATCTGGTAGCATGTCTAGGGCAAATGTTAGCCAAAATACAGTTGAATGGTTGAGGGGCTTAGAGAAAGTTGGGACAAAGCCATATTTTTAATGAATGGAGAAAAAGTAACTCAGAAAAGTAAATGCTGGTGACTATCAGCAGGTGGCTGGTGATGTTTGGTTTGGATTGTGAAAGGCATTCAGACCAAGATGGGCTGAGGGAAGGGGAGGAGAGTGAGCATTTGGAGGTTGAGGCACTTGGAGGAAGAGAAAGCAGATAGGAAAGGGTGGACTTGAATGCAGGCAGGAGCTTCCACACAGGAAATATTTCCTTTACATTAAGGTGTATAATGCTGAGGACAGCCACATTCTCAGCACTGTGTTCCATGTGTTTCCTGAAACCTTTTTCTTCCTCACAGGATTCTGCCTTGATATATATACCTCTACCTCTGTGATCCATTTCACCCCACCTATTTTTGTTCTAGGTCTCACCTGAGCAGACACTGCTAACTAAAGCCAAATTAGCATTGAAATAAGCTCCTCTCGTACAGTGGGCATTTAAGTTCTGTTGACTGAGATAAATACATTCATGTTACAGTACTGCTTTGTGGAAAGATTACTTAATTTGATTCTCAGTCTCCAGAGGGATATAACATGGAAACACAGTTTATGATGGCCACCTAGAATAGGTTCTGATTATACAAATTAGGTAACTTAAAACTCGATCTGAACAGAAAAGCCACATCTTTCAGGTTGCTATCAAATTTTACTACTAAAACAATTTCACATACTATTTATATAGCATTATTGGTGCAAACTTTTTACTTCCTGCACTACTATCGCTTTGCATAAAAGAAAGAAAAATCTTATTAGATAAAGAGAAGAGTTTAAGGTCTCGCTTCCCAGAGAAATGATTTAGAATAGTCTTTAAAACACAGCATAAAACAAAACAAAAACCTCATTTTGCTATCACAGTGCAAACCATTTTTATAACATGCACTGAAATTTATTTTATTCCCTGATGAACTGTCCTTTGAGTTTAAAAGAATCTTACTATCATATATGCATGCACTCTCCACTACAAGTAGTGAACTATTTTAAGTACAGATCTTTGCTGATAATTTTATTTTGCTGCGGCATAAAAATCTAAGATTTTGAATTAAAAAAAAAAAAACTTTCTAAGGTGGTAAAGAAAAAATTTGCTGTAGAATAATACTGATTAGCTTTTAGAAGCATTTAAAATTTTTAAGAGACATTATAACAATCCAATTAGGGGTTCTGGTTCAAACCTTACATGACTTTGATATAAAACTTACATTGAGTTTTCTGTTCTAAAAACAGTCCTGTGTTGCTCTGCTGTTATTTGGCTTTAAAACTATAATTAAAGGCCAAGGCCATGCCCTAGATTACATGTTAGCCATCTTTTACTTAAAAAGTACCCCAAATGGGACAAATTCTTCCTGAGACCAAGACAATGTACTTATTTCAAAAAGGTTAAGAAGGTAATACCTAGTTCCACCTCAAAAGTCTCTTTTCCCTTAATTATCACAAATTCACTTGAGGAAGTCTAGTCTGAAGGATCCAGTGAGGCACCTGCCTGGCCACTACCACAGTCAAGTGGGCTAGAAAATAGATTTATTTTCAGATGGGAGAGTATTTTGATAAGGTGATCTGAGAAATTAAGAACTATCATTGAAACTGGAAAACTTTAAATTCCAAAGTAAATAGATGTTATTCAAGCATATACATCAGTGGATTATTAAACTACTTTTAACATAATAGGCAAGGAATTACAGAATTCACATTCACATGTGCTTTTTTTTCATGTACAGGTGCACATTTAAGTTTGGCACAATGTGAGCCCAAGGTGTAGATTAGCATAGCGTACAATGACATCACTATACCAATTGAACCAGATATCTTTTTTAAAAAATATCACATCTTAATATAAAAAGCTATACTATAAATTACTACGTAGTAAATTCAATACTCTGAAAAAATACCACCCTGGAAAACCGCATCAGAATTTCAAGTTTGCAATGGATAAAGAGAGTTAACAGCAAACTGGTTGTAAAATGGTATTCACAACATGGAATGCTGTGCATGCTGCATCTTAGGTGCCTCAGCACCTTCAGAAGTAAATTTTTCTAGGCTGGTTCACTGAGGTTCATAAATACATTGTTTTGTTTTTGTTTATAGTTCCAAGTCAACTTATTTTCCTGATTATTGATGAGATAGATCAATGCTGAGCTAAAAAGAAACTTTGCTAGGAAAGAGATCTATTAAAGGCACTAATATTTCCATAATCCAAACTCTAACTACTTACATTTCTAAGGAAAAAAACCCAAAAAACTAAGTGGCCATTTTAGTTACTTAAACCTTGTTTCCTCTTTTGGTCTAAAGCTCATATGGTGTTCTGTGAGAATTTCTCCTCCTTTTCAATACACAGAAATCATTTTTCATCCTTTAATACAGTTCACCTGCACGAAAATACAAGACTATTAATTGAAAGGATTCTAGTTAAAAAAAACAAATGCAAGAATAAAAGATATCCTCAAATTGAAAGTTCTGAAGTTAGGGAAGTCAAATGGACACATGTTGCCATATGTTTCGCCACTCTCCTAAATACTTTCTTTGTGGTTAATACATATCTATATAATGTGATATTGAACAAAATCAACATATCATATATGCAATAAACAAAACAGAAGAGACCTGGCATGAGTTCTTTGAATAACCTCTTTAAATAAACCACCCTGTCTTCAAAAATATTAGTAATTTTTTCCTCACATGGAAGATTTCAAACAAGATCCTGGAACCTAAAAATGTAGAACTGCCTTATGTTAATAGGTTTACAGTCATCCTTGTTTTCTTATCTGGAACAAAATTTGAAGAAAAGCAACCTAATGTACCAGAACAGGATGATAAATGGAAGGGGAAAGTGATCAAATAAAATGTTAGTCCATGATCCTTTCATGAGAGAAAAAAGTCCCATATAGCGAGTAAGTTTAAAATGAAATCTCTGTGGGAACTATAACGGAAAATTTTAACTATATTATTTACTATGAAAAAATTTACATATATGTTTTTTAAAATTAGCACGTATGTGTAAAATTCAAGTCACCCTTAATTAACCAAAAAGTGTTTAAGCAGTACAGTTGTGTCCTACTGGATAGTTGTAAGCATCTCTTTAGGCACTTCACTGGTTCGTTAACATAATACAAATTAAAGCTATAAACACATAATGTTGTGCTCTCTGAAAATAGTCTAACCAAGCAACACAAACCAATGCAAAAATGTGACTTTTTGGCCACTTATTCCTCCCCTCTGACTTGATATCTTTTTTTAACCAGTTGTCCAAAGAGATTTTTCTGGGGAATGGAATGCTTTGGCATTATAAAACGAACATTGTTTAACCCCAGTAAGGTAAAACTGAAAAAAACCTTGTGCAATAAAGAAATTTGAACAAAATTTCTTTATGGCTCTGTTTAAAAGGACACTTCCACAGTGACATGACAGGGGAAAAGTTGAGAATTTTTTGGAACATATTGCACTCTTTTTTTGTTGTTGTTCAATCACATTAATGCATAGAAACACAATTTTTTTCCTTTGAATAATAAACTGTTTAACCTATTATAAGAAAAACATGGAAAATTATTTCTAAAAGCCTAATGGGAAAAAATATAGGCATAGTAACCTTCAACTGCTTACTAGAATATAGAAAAGAACTATGAGAAAGGAAAAATGTGCAAAGAAAATTTTTGGTCAGTCTTGTGTGGGTACAGGTTTATATGTGCCAACTAAATGGACCATAAGCAGCACTGTGAGCACTTATTATTTAAGATGACTGAGGATTACTGTCAGTGATAGAAAGGATTGTGCATAATTTCACTTTTAATATATACAACTGATATGAACAACTGAAACTTCCATTTTAGAACAGAAAGAAAATAGCTGAATTTGGCATTTCAGTAGCATGCTATAGAATTCATTATGATTAATTTCACATTAAATTATGGACAATGACTGTATCACATTTCACGTTATCGCCAATAGCAGTAAAAAAAAAAAAAAAAATGAACAAAACAAACAAACAAAACAGTGCCTGACAAATAATCTCTTGAGGACACAAATATGTGTCCAGTGAGCAGCTTGGTTCAACAGCGCATGCTTTTCCTCCACCAGATTTAGGACACAACATTAAAATTTTAGAATGGCCAGAGGAGGTCATTCTTTGCTGAATGCCAATGTCTGAAAACTACTTGAGCAGGTTGTAAGCGCCTTTCCTTATTTTTTTTTTAAAAAAGGTAAAGAAAAAATACACATACACACAAACCCCAAAGCGCTGAAGTTAAGCATTAACAAACCAGGTTTATGATTTATGATAAGTATCCAAAAATCCAACTATAAACAAAGCAAGGTAGTGCTCCTCAGTATTATTTTTGCAATTGTTGTAATGTTAAGCATCAAGAAAAATAAAACACATCATTGCACATTACAGCCGCAAAAAAAAAAAACAAAAACAAAAACCCAAAAAACAGCTAAACTTTGACACTAGAGAACTGGATAATTTTTGATGCTATATCACAGACAGCTTTTGATGTATATCTTATGTGAAAAGGTCTTTACACATATATGACATTTTCCCTGGGTGATGCTTCAGGTCAAATGCCGAGTTATGGCACGAAGAGCATAAAGAAGTTCAGCTTGCATCCGTGCTTCCATTAAAAGTAGATTTACGTGAACCTAGAAATGAAAATGTTATCAGCTTAATAACCAATATAAACAACTAAAAATACTTTCATTTTTTTCACACGTCAGACATTCATAAAAGTTTTTCATGTGCATACAGACAATATATAAACATAAATGCCTGGGTATATTTATGCATGTACATGATGTAACTCTTAAACTTGTGTTTCTAAAAATGGCTCTCCAAGCAGTAAAAACAATCTGAAAAGCCAAAGAAATTCCAATAATTTTGTTAGAATGTATTTTATGTAAAGACAATCAACGTTTTGGGTTATAAAACTAGTTTTTATAAATTATAATTTTCCTACAAATTGTACTTCTAGTTGTAAAATGCAGGGCTAAAAATCAGCCCTATATTTCTTACAACCTATTCTTATTCCTTCAAAAGCTTTCAAAAAATTTCCTACTATTTACTTGAAAGATACTAAAGTAAAAATCTGATGCTTAAAGCAGTCTCCAATCAGTGTCTGATACTCATTAGATATGCATAGCTTCCCTAGCGTCTCTTAGATAGAGCTGTGAACAGCACTTCTTTTGAGGATATTTCTCAGCCAATAGGTTAAAATGAATACCCTCAAATTTTCAAAATTTATTACAAAGAAATATATTTTAATTATTATTATTATTTTTTTTTTTAAAGATGACCGGTAAGGGGATCTCAACCCTTGGCTTGGTGTTGTCAGCACCACGCTCAGCCAGTGAGCAAACCAGCCATCCCTATATAGGATCCGAACCCGTGGCCTTGGTGTTATCAGCACCGCACTCTACCGAGTGAGCCACGGGCCGGCCCAGTATTTTAATTATTTTTTTTTTTAAAGATGACCGGTAAGGGGATCTCAACCCTTCGCTTGGTGTTGTCAGCACCACGCTCAGCCAGTGAGCAAACCAGCCATCCCTATATAGGATCCGAACCCGTGGCCTTGGTGTTATCAGCACCGCACTCTACCGAGTGAGCCACGGGCCGGCCCAGTATTTTAATTATTTTGATATCTTTCAATAAGTTGGATATATTGTTGGATATATTTTTCTGATAAAGAGAATTTCTAGATATAATCTAGAAAAGGAAGAAAATCTAGTACAAACATATAAAAAGCATAATGCTCTATCAAGGAGAGATGCTAGAGTTAAAATGGGTATTTATCTGTTGTGCAATTGGCTCTAAGACTTCAAAACATCTATTAGGTACCAAGGCTATAACATTCTCTGTCAAGGTCAAACAGGTAATTAGTGAATGTTAGGACCCTAAAAAGGTTTTCTTACTTTCAGGCTTGGAAACTATGGTACCTGGTCTTAGGTAAAAAGACCTAGGACGACTTACAGCCAGATCTTATGATTTTGGTGAAGTTTCTTAACATTTATTAGGTCCTAACTTAAATAATGATTCCTATATATTTCATCCAAAGAAATATTCTTATGTAATAATACATTTGGCTCAAAGGTCCTGCATTACAATGTCAAAATTCTAAATTACCGAAATGGGATGAGAAACTTGTTCTAATAGGTTAACTCTAGTGGCTAGAGTTAAAGAATCTCTAAATGGATATGCTTTCTGGGCCAAGATGCAGTTATACCCAATACAACATCTTAGTAAGTTTGATTTTTAATAATAGAATGGTAGACAGGTTCTCAAATGTACTTCAAAGACAGGAATACTTAGATCCAATCTTTCAAAGCTAATGCTAAACTTTTACTTTATACACTACATTAGACAAAGTACATAACCAAGGTTTAGTTAGTATTCAATCAACTTGAATTTAAAAATTATTTTAAAAATCATATAGTTAGATGATGCCACTTCCATTTCAATAGCACTAACTTACTAATATTTTTATATATCATTTTTCATAATCATTTACTTCTTATACTGAACATCTGTCTACAGTACCTTTTCTGAGTGTTTGAACTGCCGCCAGTAACTATCATACATGCGTTTTGTAGTTCTCTCAGGATAGCAGGTCACTGTCTTAATGTAAACCTTCAGGCTTCGTTCAAGTAATTGATTAACTTCTCCATAATCATAGTCATCATACCTATGAGCAATACGACAACAGGTTTATAATGAAAAACATTAAGATTTTTAATTTCTAAAGTTGTTCCAAGAGACATTTACTATCTAGTAATTAAATACTGAAAGCATTAATTAAATCATCTAACATATTTATTGAGTGCCTAATGTAAATGTCACTGGGGCTTTATTAGTGAACAAAATAGATAAAAATCCCTGGTCTCGTGGAGCTTAAATTTTATTGAAGAAATAAGGAAAAAAATTAAAAGCTAAACATATAGTATGTGGATGGTGATAAGTGCTATGAAGAGAAAATGGAATTGCGGTCTGGGAAAAGAAGAGTTGTGATTTTAAATAGTATGGTCAGGAAGACATCTTTGAGAGGTTGACACTTGAGCAAATACCAGAAGGCAGTGAAGAAGCAAGTGTAAAGGTCTTAAGGCCAGAGTCAAGTGTTTCAGGCAAGAGGGAGTAATCACTGTGTCTGATGCTGCTGAATAGTCAAATAAGATGATAACCAAGAACTAACCACTGGAAGTAGCTGTATGGAGGTCACTGGCAACCTTAATAAGAGCAATTTTGTTGGTGGATAGGACAAAAGCCTGATACTATAAGTGGGTTCAAGAAAGAATGGGAGATGAGAAAATGGTGACAGTAAATATACAAAACTTTTTCAAAGAGATTTGTTGTGCATGGGTGCAGAAAAATGAGGCAGTAGCTAGAGGAAAAAGAAGGATAAAGATGGGATTTTCTTTAGAGATGGAAGAAATAATAGCATGTTTCTATACCAATGGGAATAATCCAATAAAGAGAGTAAAAAGCCGATTATGCAGGAGAGAGAAGGGAGAATTGGTAGAACAGAGATCTTTAGAAGATGAGAGGAGATGGGATTTTTGTGCCTAGGTGCATAGGGACATAGACAGTAATAACACAAGAAACAGCAGGTACAGACAAATGGATAAATGCAGTATTCGGAGCTTGTGGAATTTCTCTTCTATATTTTCAGTTAATCTTTAACACAAACATAATGCCTAGTTAAAAAATCTTCATGATTTTATATAAGCTTTATTTGGAAGCATCCAAAAGATAAATATAATCACCACAACATTTGTTACTTATTGCCTTGTATACAATAAATATCTGTTGCATTTAAATTAAATTCTACTTGGGCCGGCCCGTGGCTCACTCGGGAGAGTGCGGTGCTGATAACGCCAAGGCCCCGGAGAGAAATTTTATTGAGAAGAGCAGCAGAAAACTATAACTAGGAGAATATGGGGTCAGGAAAGATTACATTTGGTTTGCTATCTTTTACTTTTGTATCTTTTTTGTATTTTTAAAAGAGAGATGTAGGGACCAGCCCATGGCTCACTCGGGAGAGTGTGGTGCTGATAACACCAAGGCCAAAGGTTTGGATCCCATACAGGGATGGCCGCTTAGCTCACTGGGTGAGCGTGGTGCTGACAACACCAAGTCAAGGGTTAAGATCCCCTTACCGGTCATCTTTTATAAAATAATAAATAAATAAATAAATTAAATTCTACTAGTGTTCATTTTTCTTAAGTGGGTATTATGTGTTTTAAAATGTGATGATTCTTTGATAACTTATTGTCTAGGATAGTAAATGGGCAAATACCACAGTTATTATATACCATCATACTAGTGTCTTTTAGACAGAATGTTGCATTATTCGTTGATTAATCAGGAAATTTTTGGGTTATTTAGAAAATACTTTGCTTAATAGACTGAATTCTAATTCCATTCCATAAAGGATGTACTACGTAATTAAACTGAATATATTCATAATTAGAAATGTTCTTTTTGCAAATCTATTTCCCTAAAAGCCTCAAAATCCAGCTCAAAAAGTCACATTTTCCAAAAAGAGGTTTCTTGATTAGAGTATTCAATCTCATTCACTCATTTACACATTGTCCTCTCAATGCTTATTTTCTAGATTTAGAGGCCACTGATTTATATTAATCTATATTGACTGATATGTTTCATTTCAGTGGGGATTTTTTTGTTGGTTTTTTGGTTTTTTTGGCAGCTGGCCGGTAAGGGAATCCAAATCTGTGATTTTGATATTATAAGGCTGCAATCTAACAACCAACTGAGCTAACCAGCCAGCCCCATTTCAGCATCCTTATGTGAGCTTATGTAAGCTTTATGAGGAAAGAACCTATACTAGTTTTGTTTATATCCCAATAACCATTCCTTCAAAAATGAATGTTTTAAAAACCAAACTAAACAAACCAGAATTTATTACAGTGATCTAAAGGGACACAATACATGTTTTTTTTTTTAAACTGAACTATTCTTCCAAAAAGGAGTCTCCAGTTTAGTCTGATTCTGTCCTATCCCCAATGATTATTGATGCTTTTTTCCTCCTTAGTCAATTCTTACTACTGTATTTATATGTGCATCTATGTTAAGACTCATAACACTTAAAGAAAATGTTTCTCTATAAAATGGAATTCTTTAAATCAGAAGTTCATATGTAATATTTTCTTCCCATGATCATATACTTTGAAAGGGGATATAAATAAGACTCATTTCACTTAGAAATGTATAAAACTGTCTCTACAATGAACATACCTGATTCCAAACATACAGTGAACATAGTTAAATAAAGCTCTGCGCAGCATGGTTGTGTCAACATCCTCATGGGTGGCCATAGTATTATAGGTGAGATTGTAGACCATCCGAAACTTTTCATCAAGAAGATGTCCAATGTCAGAGTAAAGTCTGTTTACCAGGGAGAACCCATGATTTTCCCAGGTATAGTCCTAAAAGAATAAAATATATCCCATCACAAAATGGACATCGTCCATTTAAACTTTATGTTTTTATTAACTGTAACTTCTGAAGCAAGTAAGTGAGGATATTTCTAATTTAGTTCTAGGTTTGCAGCTTTACTAAGGTTTTACCAAGAACCGTTCTCATCAGTTTGTAGATGCAGAGTGCTAGCATATTTCCTCATAGGGTCCAGGGTTTGGCATATTGGTGGTGAACTCTGGCTACCTCCTATGGTCAGGTACTATGCACAACATGCCCTTATCTGGAAGGACCCCAGGTGTGACCAAACTTACTCAGTGAAATGGACAGTTAGCTGATTATCTGAAACAAGCATGAAGGAGTTTGTCTTAATTCAAATTTATACCCTCTTTAGGAGTCACATCACTATTGTGGCTATTTTCTAGGGGTGGGGTTGGGGTAGTCCTTAAGCCCATAACTACTGGTGTGTGATCTTACTACAAAATGCCTTTTTATTTATAGATGTGACCCTATCACTTGATTTCCTCCCATCCCCCCTCCAAAAACTGGCTTGAATATTATACAACTACAATGTAATAATGCAATTAACCAAACAAAGCAGACAGTTTCCTTTTGCCTTCTTAGGAGAGAAAACGTTGAAATAATTATCTATTGAGACATCAATTAGAGTAGGCTGAAAACTATGTAAATAAAAGATTTATAGATCCTATCAAAAAGACCTACCAATTTCTTTAGAAGTTAATTTATTTACATTTCAATATTTGACAGTTAAAATCACAGTATGCACTTGTTTCTCTGAATCAAAGACATCTCATACCTGAGCTCGGAATGTTGGCAAATGCTCTTCTCCTCTTCTGGCAAAGTCTTCATACCCAAAACCAGGGTCCTCAATATATCGAGATACATCAGATGTTATAATCATGTCATCTTCAAAATCTAAGGACAATAATGAACAATCTAGTGTTAAGGATACTGTACATAGTTAAGACAATAAAACTGAACTCCATTTCCTTCTACTTTTTGGATTTTCCATGGATTTCTGAAGTGACAACATTAACTCCATGGCTTAAATTCATATAAAATATCTATTGTTGAAGTTTTTAATTCAATTTCATTACCAAATACTGGCAATCTTACCATCTAACTGTAGTTATCCAGGCAAAAAATTGACTAAACTGAAATATCTAAATAGTAGTAGCAATTAATCAATAAACTAGTTTTACTAATTTAGAAATGAAAGATAGCATATAACTGAGTATAAAGCTTAAACATTTTTTTTTTTTTATTTCTCTGATGGATGAAATGGGATGTGGGGAAAAAGAAGAAATGAAGGTGAAAGACCACTTTGAGTTTAATTTTAAAAAAGACTTTGTTAAAATTATATGGTGTTTCATCTGGATGTACTGACAGTAAAAATCAGTTCTATATTGAAATTAGCTCATTTTTAGCTTACAAATAGGCTTATAGGGAAAAGGATCAGGAAGAAAGCTCAACAGGGAGGAGAGTGGACTTTTGGGTGCCTCATTCTCTTAATTCACTTGGGCGCTAGTTAAACAGGAGGATTCAGTTTGTAAACATTCATTGAGCTTTATACCTAAGATACGTGCTCTTTTCTGTGCACATGAAAACAAAAAGGTACATAACATATGAAGTATACAATGCTCTTCTCATCTGGCAGTCTTCTTACCCAAAACCAGAGACATCAGATGTTACAGACATCCTCAAAATCTATGACTGTCTTTAGAATATTACCAAAGTGGCATTCAGGAGGATAGAAAGACAATAATAATATTTTAAGACAGGTGACTTGATGATATTAAAAATTCACCACTGAAAAATTTTAAATGACCAATGAAGAGAAGATAATTCTCTTCTAATTCACTTTTTTTTTTAGGTTAGGCTGTCTTTATAATTACTCTTTTCTGATTTCAACCATTGAAAGGGAATTAACAAGCTTTATTTACTACTTTCTGTTCTAGAAAATAAATGTATATTTCACAAAATTTTTAAAAAAGCTCTTTTCATGAAAGGAACAATATTTCCTTAGTAAGAATATTAATTAATATTATATAAATTCAATATTTAATAAATAATGAATAAGTATAAAATAAACAGTTAATAAAACTTTACTATGATGTAATAAAAAACTATATAAAAAACTTGGCTGGGCAAAATCTTGAGAGGTTTAAAAAACAAATGCAATTATATTAATTCTTCCAAAAGAAAGACCTGGTAGACTAGTAGTACTTCAGTATGTTTAATCTTTTCCATTTCATGATAATATTAACAATATGTATTCTTTACTCGCAAGTTTTTTTCCTTTCCTTGAGTCACTGCTATGGACTAATTGGGATGTTTGACAACAGCCAGAAAGATCAAGAGCCCAGGCTATCCAACTTTGGATATATCTTATTAAAATTTTTACCTAACTTCTTTATTACACATAAAGAGAAGAGATTGGCATTTGTTGAGTATTTGCTATATACCATGTACTATGCTACATGCTTAATATCTATTTTTTCTTTGTTTCATCAATACAGGAAGAAATATCCACTTAAGATATAAATAAGGTAACTGTAAGTTACTAATACTATCATCTGTACTGTCAGTAAGAAATACAATGTGAATTAGTATAAAATGAGGTGAAAAACTTCTAAATGTTAAACTAGTTAAATTGTTCTGAAGCTTTTACTTCAGTTCTCTAAAGAGAAATTTCAGGTTTATCCCTAGCCCAATCCCATAACCTGTTTATTTTCTCCTTGTGTTCCAGCACTGTATACAGGTAAATAGAAACACTTAATGCATTTTCAATGCATTTTTTTAAACATTTACAAACTAGGTTATACTTTTCCTTAATTCAGTTCATCACATAATAATCAATAGAAATGAAGCAAAAAAATATAAAATCTCATAGCAATCACTGAGGCTGCTATGAAAACTAGAGATTTCATGGGTTGTAAAGTAAAATCAAACCAAGAACAGTGAGTGATAACTAAACTCTGTAAGACAGTATGTCTCTAGAAGTGAGTTTTCCCCCCAACATTTTACAAACAGGTGGTTTCATCTGGCAAATACTGATACTATAGTTGACTATTTATATAATCAGTTCCTTTGCCTTGCATGTTAGTTTTTGTTTTGCTCATATACATTTTCAAGTTGTCATATGAGTTTTAAACATTTAAAATAAAAAATAAAAAGTGAGTAACTAACCACATAAGAAAATTGATCCTAGGAAAAATCTCTATTAATTTTAAAATTAGGAGTCAATCAAGACCTGTTTTCAAGACAATTTTTTTCACATAAAGAAATGTACAAAGGTCCCTCAACCCAGAAATATTATTTTAAGAAGTTAAAATTAGTACTCTGATCAACAAATCTAAAACTCTAATTTAATCTAAACAAATATTTCAAAGTTTGTACTCAAAGAAATTAGCATTTTGCACATTATCTGCATTCTTTTGCCCCAAAGAAGTAGCTACTAACATAATACAGAAAACACTTTGTTGCAGCAATGGAATGCTAGTTAAATTGTTCTGAAAAAAACACTCACTTAAAAAACTAACAGTAAAAGCTAGTTAACCCTGTTACCAAGCTACAGTATACTGCCCCTGTAGAACACTTTAAATATTTATTTTCTTCAAAAGACTTGAAAAACTGTTCTTAGAATCTCTCTATATAATCTGGAATTCTTTATCACACTAGTCAAACCAAGAAATTTTTTTATAGGAAAATAAATTTCTTTCTCTGTTTTTGAACATGATAATTTATAAACATGACTCAATTAGTCAATGTACAAAATCATTTTTCCTATATCTTTGCATAGCCAGAAAATTTAGTACTGGGAATGATTAAGAATAAAAACAAATATATAATAAAATGACATATTTCCTTGAATGATTTACACACGATACAGTCTACTCTATTAAAATTAGAACATAATTTTGGCTAGAGCCCATGGCTTGCTAGTCAAAATTTACTTTCAAAGGCAATAGTCCCTGCTCAAAGGTCAAAGAAGGTGATCTTAAAGAAGTTCTTAAAAATTAATGTCTGTAAAACCTCTCCTGATCTCTTACTGGTTACACCCTTGCTACTCCAAGTGCGGCTTGAAAAATAGTAGCATTGCCATCACTTGGAGGACTGATAGAAACGTGGCTTCTCAGGCCCTATCCAACTGACTCAGCATCTGCATCTCAACAAGTTCCCCCAAATGACTCATATGCACATTAAAGTTTGTGAAGCACTGTGCTAGACATCTTAACCCCAAATGTTCAAAACATGGAAGGTTACATGTTCCTTAAGGTTAGAAATGTTATGGTAAGGCCTGTGTCTACCTAACCAGCTTCCTCTTCATACTACCTACCTCATGATTTATATCCCCACAACATAGAACCAACTGTTCCTGTACCCAGCATGTTTCCTTACCATTGTGCCTTTCTCAGGTCTGGATGCTGTTTACCACATCCTCTCATGCCCCTCAGCTATTGCCTGACTTCCTCACACTCAATTCTGTAAAACTTAGCTTAGAGCCACAGCCTGCAGAAATTCTTCCTCTAGGCCCCCTTTCTTTCCACACCCTTTCCCCAGCAAAACTGGGTTCAGTGCCCTCTTCTAGGTTTATTTATCTTTCACATTCTGCTATGTTTTAGAATTCTTTCTCCCCCAACAACATGAGAGTGACCTGGGGGCAGGAATCATGTCTTATTTTGCCTTAAAACCGTAATACCTACCATAGTGCCAAGATTGCATGGGGTACTCAATAAATATTTGTAGAATGAATATTCAACCAATAACTAAAATACCAAGTTATTTGGGATTTACTGTTGATTAGAAGTCTGATTATTAATTACAGTAGCCTTCAATAGATTAAATTGGTTACCCTATTGAGTATATAAAATCTTTCATAAGAAAGATCATGAGGAGAAATGATAAAAAGGGGTTCTAGTTTTTCTTGGTAAAACTTCTGAGAGATATTGATCAACGCCATTGTTTAACATTAACAAACAAGTTACAGCGAAAACAATTTCCAAAATTTATGAGACTGCCTAGCCTTTAAGAAAGTAGTTTTGAAGCTTTCTTTTAAACCAATGGAACTCTATTTTTAAAAAGAAATGTCATGATCAAGTGGGATTCATCCCAGGGATGCAAGGTTGGTTCAACATACGCAAATCAATAAATGTGATACACCATATTAATAAAGTCAAACACAAGGACCATATGATCATCTCTATAGATGCTGAAAAAGCATTTGATAAAATTCAGCACTCATTCATGACAAAGACCCTCTATAAGTTAGGTATAGATGGAAAGTATCTCAACATAATTAAAGCCATATATGGCAAACCCACTGCCAATATCATCCTGAATGGGGAAAAGCTGAAAGCTTTTCCTTTAAGAACAGGAACCAGACAAGGATGCCCACTCTCACCACTCCTATTCAACATAGTGTTGGAAGTACTAGCCAGAGCAATCAGAGAAGAGAAGGAAATAAAGGGCATCCAGATTGGAAAAGATGAAGTCAAACTGTCCCTGTTTGCAGATGACATGATCCTATATATCGAACAGCCTAAAGCCTCTACAAAAAAACTCTTGGAGGTGATAAATGAGTTCAGCACAGTAGCAGGATACAAAATCAACACACAAAAATCAGTAGCATTTCTATTCACCAATAGTGAACATGCAGAAAGAGAAATCAAGAAAGCCTGCCCATTTACAATAGCCACCAAAAAAATAAAATACTTAGGAATTGAGTTAACCAAGGATGTGAAAAATCTCTATAATGAGAACTACAAACCACTACTGAGAGAAAATAGAGGATACAAGAAGATGGAAAGATATCCCATGCTCTTGGATTGGAAGAATCAACATAGTGAAAATGGCCATACTACCCAAAGTGATGTACAAATTCAATGCAATCCCCATCAAAATTCCAATGACATTTTTCTCAGAAATGGAAAGAACTATCCAGATATTTATATGGAATAATAAAAGACCACGCATAGCCAAAGCGATGCTGAGCAAAAAAAAATAAAGCTGGAGGCATAACGCTACATGACTTTAAGCTATACTACAAAGCTATAATAACCAAAACAGTATGATATTGGCATAAAAACAGACACACTGATCAATGGACTAGAATAGAGAATCCAGAAATCAACCCACNGTTGATACGACAAGCAAACAGAAAGGACATTGTTGGGTGGGAGGGAGGAGAGGGAGGGGGGAGGGTGGTTTTCGTAATGGGCCACAGCAATCAACCACATTGTATATCGACAAAATAAAAATTAAAATAAATAAATAAAAATAAAAATAAATAAATAAATAAAAGTTTATATGCAAGTTTGTAATGGGCCACAGCAATCAACCACATTGTATATCGACAAAATAAAAATTAAAATAAATAAAAATAAAAATAAATAAATAAATAAAAGTTTATATGCAAGTTTAAAAAAAAAAAGAAATGTTATGTAGATTGATGACTTTTGAAAGGTTTAAGCTTTCTATTGAGTCTACGCTATTTTAATAACATTTACTATGTGGTGTTCAATATCTTTTTTAGTTGTAAATTACAAAGTTTCCCTTCTATTTCAAAGTCCCTTAGAGTATTAGATAAACTAGTTTTTATGACTAGAGCAAACAATCCTAGTTTTTAGTACAGAATAAATTCCTCCAAATTCAATCTAAGAAAATGACCTAAATAATACCTTCTTATAAAATTCTAAAGAAATGCAAATGCAAGTGCAATATAATTTTAGAACTAATTTGGAAAAGCAGCAGTGTGAGAATAATCCTCCCACACACAGCCCATCCACAACAAAGGCGAAGATATTTTTTAAAAAATTATATCTATTGAAACAGGATTTCACTTATTTTTTTAAAAATCACAAAAGTAGAATGAATTAAATATTCCTATCTAATGTTATAAGCAATCAGTCTGCTACGAATAACATTTTATTCAGGATACAGTGTGAACTACAAAGCTGGAAAAGGTTCTCTCAGTTGGATCTGAAATACGTTCAAAGATGTACCAGCCTAAGAGGGAAAGCAATAGCATTAGGGTATGGTAGAGCAGGAAAACTGAATAAAATGAAGATGGTAGTAGAATCGTTTTTACATATCCATATAAAAAACACTGAAGGTTGTCTCGTCAGTGCTGTAAGAACTAAAAGGCAAAGACAGTGGGGGGAAAAAGCACCTGAATGAGGAAATGAATGAAAAGTATCTCCAGAGACCACAAAAAGACTCTCTTTCTTCTCCTTCTCAAAACGAGTGGTCATTTCTTCCTGAGATGCGTCTTCATCTTCCCTGTCTTCCTGAAGCCTTTTCATCCTTTCCATTAAGGCCTCTAGCTCAGTTAGAGAATCTACAATCTGGAAACAGATAAGAAAACGATGGGAGCTATTAATACCAAAAAGTATTCCAGTAAACATCTCTATCTCCCAGTGTCACCTTACTATGTACAGTGGCATGGGAAGTTATTAAGTTCCTAAATGGGTTTTTCACTAACTCCAAAGAGAATCTATGACAGATTCAAACATTTTTGAAAGTATTATGTTTTTGCTTCAGTTATAAATATAAAAAGTTTAAAAGAATATATATATATTTAATCTAGAATTCTAGCATTTGATACATATTAAATTTATGATAGTTTATTTAAAGAAATGAGGCAGTGTCAAATTTTCTACTTTCTGGTCTTATCAGATATATTTTCCATTCGTTATTCCAGTGTCTTATAGATACAGATATACTGCTCTGTGATCTGTGTGACAAGAGTCTAACATTAAAAGCCTATGACCACTAGAATGCATCACTGTTTAGTACTTATGATTTGTAATAATATCTATTTGCTTTCAAAGCCTCTTTAAGACAAATCAGAACTTCAGGTATTGATTGAATTTTCACAGTAATAAAAATTATGCAAAAATATTTCAAGTATATAATATCTTGTCTAATCAAAAAATAAACCTTATCTAGATTTTTTAACATTAAGAAGTTTATAGCAAGAATAGTAAAGAAAAACAGTTAAAAAAACTAACCCCAAAGTTGCTGCCTGCAAGTGATGCATTCTCTATATTGTTGTCATTAGCAAGATCACAAACACAGAAATTGTTGACTGATATTAGCCTGAATCCATTGGAGATTTCTGGATCTCTCTCTGGATTGATGCCACTACCAAAAACAAAGCTTGCCAAAGCATGATAATGTGTCAGTAGGACCACAGCATGTACCAGTTCAGGCAGAGACCAATTATTTTCTCCAGTTTTGACAAGTTTCTGAAATGACAAAGCAAATCAGAGTAAATATAAAAATCATAAAATGCTACAAAACAATTTTAAAAAGCATGAAAAATCTATCAAATTTCATACATTCAATTATAGTAATAAAACTTAAAACTCCCTTTCAAAAATGTTTCATATGTTAAAGAAACAGCTTTGGCCAAACAATATTACATTAAAACTATCAAACCCAAGAATATAATTATGTTGTGGCTTCTTCTAAATCCCTAACATACACAATCAAACTTCTTCTTCCAAAGTACTTTTACATATTATTTCGATGAGATACTTCAGAGAATCAAAGAACAATAAAGTTAAAAGGGACTTTAAAAATTATCTAGCAAAAACCATTTTAAGATTTTTTGGAAATTTTGTCCCCCAGAATCATATAAAGTCCAATTCTGCAAGTCAACTTTTAGTTATCCTTTAGATATCTTCTCTGATGGAGAAAGACCGTACAGTTGGTGACAAAACCTGTAGAATAGTACCTCACATCTGAATAAGAACTTAAATTTCAAAGCACTTCTTCATATGCTATTTTACTTGATCTTCCAGCTGAATGACAGAATCACAAGTAGACATTAAAAACAGTGATTCCCCCATCCCCACTTTATTCAAGAGTGAATTAATCCATCAGGGATTCTTTCCCACCAGTTATCTTTCTCTCTCTCAGATGGGTGTGTGTGTGAGAGAGAGAGAGAGAGAGTGTGTGTGTGTGTGCGTGTGTGTGTGTTTTCTCTCCTGTTCCTCTCCTTCTATTCCACCCAAATCTAAAATTTCATTTGGCTCACTTCATGGCAAAACAAACAAAAACAAAATTACTTTCTTTGGCTTTACTACCCATTTTTTTTTAACTATATACACAAACATATATAACTTAATATATTACCAAAAGCTCAGAGAGAAGAAAAAACCTCAAATTCTGCCACCCAGATATAACTTTTACATATCTTTTATTTATTTATTTATTTATTTATTTATTTATTTATTTATTTATTTATTTATTTATTTATTTATTTATTTATTTATTTATTTATTTATTTATTTATTTATTTATTTATTTATTTATTTATTTATTTATTTATTTATTTATTTATTTATTTATTTATTTATTTATTTATTTATTTATTTATTTATTTATTTATTTATTTATTTATTTATTTATTTATTTATTTATTTATTTATTTATTTATTTATTTATTTATTTATTTATTTATTTATTTATTTATTTATTTATTTATTTATTTATTTATTTATTTATTTATTTATTTATTTATTTATTTATTTATTTATTTATTTATTTATTTATTTATTTATTTATTTATTTATTTATTTATTTATTTATTTATTTATTTATTTATT